CACACACACACACACACACACACACACACACACACACACACACACACACACACTTCCGCGCGCTCGTGCATGTGCTTTTTTCTTTTTTTTTTAAGTCTAAATGGACCACGGATCTGATATGAAACTGATCGGAGCAGATACACTTGATCGTGGGCTCTCTCTCTCTCTCTCTCTCTCTCTCTCTCTCTCTCTCTCTCGTGTAGTGTTAGTAGTAGAAGTTGTTTCCAGACCTGATAACAAGGGGGTAGTTAGTTTGATTGGAGGGGGCAGGCCGTCGTAGCAGGGGAGTGTGCAGGTCGTCGTAACATGTACGGGAGAGTAGCAAAGTCGAGCGTTGTAGAGCTCTCTCTCTCTCTCTCTCTCTCTCTCTCTCTCTCACACACACACACACACACACACACACACAGTGTGGAGCCCAACCTCCTGCACGTAAAAAAGCGTAGTGTGTGTTCAGCCTGGGTGTGTTGTCTCTCTCTCTCTCTCTCTCTCTCTCTCTCTCTCTCTCTCTCTCTCCTGTGTGTGTGGGCATGACTAAGCGAGGCTGTTTCGTCGGACTTCCACCGACTCGTCAGGAGGTTGAACCCCGACAGTCTGCCCAGATGTCGTCGTGCGTCTGTGTGTGTGTATCCACATGCGAAGTCGAAGTCGAGCGTGGTAGTGTGGTGTCGAGTAGTAAAGTCGAAGTTGAGCGTTGTAGCATAGGATAGAAAAGTAGAAGTCTATAGTATAGAGTACAGTAGCATAGGGGTGGGTCTTTCCCATGCTGTAAAATTTGGCCATGCCACCACCAAAAAGGCACGCCCCCACCCAAAAACAGTACACGCCGCCTAACCCACGGTAGTTACATCACGGGAAGCCTATGGGAACCCGTTTGACCAGAACACAAAACCCCACCAGTAGGTACCGCGCCAAGAAACCACTGGTAGGTACAGGCAACTAATCCGGTCGCCTGGCCCAAGGTACGGGGCCAACGATACAGTCCGTCGATCCGTTAGGACCCGACAGCCGGGATTTCAGATTTGTTACATGGTTCGATCGATCTGGGTGGTGGGTCTGTAGTGATGATAATATGTTCTAATCCAAAACATAAACAAAGACAAGGGTAATTCATTGATGAATCAGTAATTACTAATTCATCTGGAGTACCAAAAGCTTGCATTAATATATATATTTATTATTGAATCTATTATTTCATTTAGATAATAGATAAATAAGATATATAAAAATACTATATCGACGGCCCGGATTTCAGATTTGTCACGTTAGCAATTTTAATAGTGTAGGGAAGTTCAGAAACTCCATCTGGGTCTGTAGGGAAGTTCAGAAACTCCATCTGGGTCTCAAGGTTTCAAACCTTGAGCATTCTCTGGAGACTTAGGTAGGTAAACTCACAGTGTGTCTTAGTTCTGTCACAGTCAAACAGGTAGTCAAAGGTGTATCAGTCACCTTCAAGGAAAAAACGGAACTCGGACAATCTTTAAATTTCTATATTTCCCCTCACCTTCCCTTTGATCTTTTCTCAGTCTGAAGTGGCTAAAGGCAACTAACCCTTCAATCGACTGGGTTTTGCCCAGTGTTCCATTGAAGAACTCACAGGGTGAGCGAAAACAATGTCTTAGTTACTGATTACCATCCCAAGACAAGTTGTTACTGCCTAAAAGCCAGGGAGTTCTACAACTTGTCTAAGGAAACTGACCATGAGAATTTGTTTGTGGCTTATGTCACTCAAACAGATTCAGACTCCTCCCCTTCTCAAGTTGGTTTCTCCATTCAACAGGATGTTAACGAGTTTGTCGAGTTGACTCACGAACCTACAACACTTGTTTATAGGCAAACCAAGCATCATATCCACATTCTGCCAGACTCGACCTCTCCCAAGGCAAGAGTCTACAGAACGTCTCCTGCTCAATTGGAAGAGTTAAACCACTAGTATATCCGAAAAAGGAGACTGAGCCTCTCCTAAAAAATAGGAGGTCATGAACCGTCGATTCATTTTATCACCGTTCCATGGCCTTCAAAATTTTAGGAGAGGCTCAATCTGCTTTTCCGGATGTACTGATGGTTCAAGGAAAGAACTTAAACCGCCAGTACATCCACGTTTTTAGGCCGTCAACGTGGTGGCTGAATCGGTGTGCTGCGCAGGTCCATATGCATTTGCCTCAGAGCCTCCCCAGGGGGTCTTAGGTACTCGTGGTTTAAAGCACCGGTACATGGGCACCTGGGCCGCGGGCCTGACACCTCGAATTCTGGAAGCGCAAAACGAAAACGTAGCCGTCAATCCAATTTATCAATGACAGGCCCAGCATTTGACGTTTCGGCCTCATTTTCTTGTGGCGACAACTTTCAGACTGCAAGGTTGGGGCCGTGTGCTGGTGGTTCGAGTCCTTAACTGAGAAAGAGTAGATAAGGCCCATCTCATCTGAATATGGGGCACTAGTTCTCTTTGTTCCAAAGGCAAATGATGAACTCGGAATGTGCATACATGGCAGACGCCTAAATAAGATCACTAGGAAGAGCTATGAGCCCTTGCCTAGGATCGATGACTTGTTGGAGATGGTGCAAGGATGCATAGTCTTCAGCAAAATCGATACGGAATTTGGGTATAATCAGACCACAATGGTTGAAGAGGATGTGCATAAGACTGCCTTTAAGCACCTATGAATTCCTGGCCATGCCCTTTGGTTTCTGCA